TTTACAAGGAACAAACAAAACCTTCAATGACAAGTTAGAATATGATGGCCTAATTGAGTCAATTTTACAAATGAGAGTGTTATTGAATAAATTATTAAGATAAAGGCAATTTTGAATAATTGAGATAAACATTTAACAAAATAATAAGTTAAGCTTATAAACTCACAAACATAAAAAGATTATGATATATATATATATATATATATATATATATATATATATATATATATATATATATATAACTCACAAACCAAAGCAACGTCTTTACCACTAAGGATGTTTTTTAACAATAAAAAGGGTTGCTTTAGTTTTGCCTAAATCAATATTCAATTCTTATTATCTGTAAATAGTTAGTCATAATTATCTCTTCTTAGTAGTACCAGTGCTTGTGTTGGTTTAGTCTAAGAGACGACTTAGTGGTTAATAAAAAATTAGGCATGTTCTAGCATTGGCTTAGCCTAAAGAGTGATAGATTTAATCTCGATTGATGTGAAAGTTAGCATATATGTATATATGAAAAAATACACCGATTAAAAGAAAAAGTTCATTGAGTAGTAAAAAAAATTCCTTTTCTAGATTTTTTTCTTAAGAAACATTTTTAGATAATTACCATAATATTATTATTGTTTTAGATTTTATTACCATAAATAAAGAAAATAAATTTTCTTTTTATGGTAAAAAAAAAGATAAATTTTCTATCCAGAGTAATTAATAGAGTTTCTTCATGATAGAATTGAAAAAAATGGAATCTAAATAAATTTGGAAAGAATGTTATGTCACCGACTTTTTCTTTGAAAGATTTGGTTGTATGTATGTATGCATGTATGTAGATATCTACAAATGAAGCAATAGGCCCCACAAATCTCAAATGAGCACAAAGACTAGAAATTTTAAAATACTCAAAAATAACTACTAATACTTACTCTATAGGTATATTTTAAGGAGAGATATAGGAAAAAAGAAAACAAGAAAGTCACATCCGGACCAAAACAAAAACAATAAGGATCTTTTCCTTAAGTTTTTTTTATTAATTTTTTTATATCTATCTCTCTTATGGAGTAAATATTGGCGGTTATTTTTTAAGTATAATAAAATTTATTCGAATTCATTCAAAAGAGCATATCAAATCTCAATGAATTCTTTACTTTTTGGCTTTTTTATTAATTTTTGTGGACCTCCTACTCAATCTTAGTTATGATATTGAATTTTTTTCGGTATATACAAACATACTAGGTCGGTACTTTCCATTACTACACTATATAAACGATGTTTAGAGTTAGCATTTGTCTATTATCGGTTCCTTTTTCTCTAAACTATATGAATAGTTATTTGTTGTCTTTAATGATTCCGTTATTAGTGACCTTGGGAGTTCAACATAACCGGGTAGGTCTTTTTATGTTTTTTTTTTCTATTTCTTAAGTTGCATCAATAAGAAATTCATGATTAGTTTGTTTGTTTGAGTACTTAAATATGTGTTGGTCTAATAGAATCTATGAATAGATTGTTCAAGCTAACTCAAGAGATTTGAGAAATATATGGACTTATATTCAAGATTTTTATTTTAATGATTTCTATCGTTGTAATCTAATCACATCATTATAATAGGGAATCATATTACTTTTTTTATAACAAAAGTAAAGTGTGCTATTGGTATATTCTTCATCTTAGAATTATATAATCGTCTAATTTTATCTAGGTTTTCCTTAAACTTGTGAAAATATTTAACCTTTTCATTTCATGGTCAAAATTTGCTCAAGATTTATGTAGTTCTTTATTGGTCTTGTACTTTTAAGATCTATGAAGATTTTATTCCTTATTCTTTTTCGTGAGTGACTAATCGGATATCTGCATGGAGAAGGGAAAACATCTAATCCAAGAAGAAGAAAAAGAAGAACTATTGCTCGTTGTAATAGATTATCAATCTAATGTCTCATCACCATCTCCTTCAATCGTATTTAATGCTACCCTTGAGGAATTAAAAAACTCAAGCCAAAACAACTTAATTGGTTTTGAAAATATGCCTTCAAATGATACAACAAAATTACCTAGCAAGCTCCATGGATCAAGTTCGAGTTCGGGACCGGGATCTACCTCGGAGAAAGAGAATTCGATCATAAAAGAAGCAAATGATGCTGACATGGGAGACTTCTTTTTCAAATCACTCGGACATAAATAAGACTATCCCATTAGGTTCGAAGCAACCTCACAAGGCACCAACACATAATGTATTCCAAACGAGATGGAACCTTGATGCAAATTATGTCAAAAATAATTACACCAACCTCAAAAGCAGAAAAAATTACCTTAGGTCCACAAAAGGTATTAAAAAAGGAGTCGGCTTCGAAACGCTCGAAGAAATAGCAAGGCATGACACGAAAAGAGCAAAGAGGTATAATTTTTATGAAAAATACACTTATATTTATGATTGATTATTTAATGTTATTTTTATAATATCTATTAATTGGTTTTATTTTCTTTTAGTCATTTCATGATTAATAAAAATATTATATGCTTTTTGTGAGAAAAGATATCCCATATTAAATAGTTAAACCAAAGTTTATTAATATATAAAGTTGAGATGGGGATACTCACCATAAGACTTAAGTCTTTTATATGAAATATAATCTCATCTATCTAATTTTATATAGTATCGAGTCTCAAAGAAGCTTATTGGCGTAGCAAAGATGCTAGAGTCGCAACCACTTGACGGATCCCAAAAGATGGATTGCAAATGAGGGGAGTGTTAGAGAATATATCTCACATTAATAGTTAAACTAAAGATAATTAATATATAAAGTTGAGAAAAAGCCTCCCACCATTAGGTTTAAGTTTTTTAGATGGAATCCAAATGGAATCCAATCTCGGTTATCTAACTCTATATTTATGAATAAGACTAAGATGTGATTGATTTTATTTATTTTTGACTTTATTTATATGTATTTAGCTAAAAGTTCTTAATAGCTTATAAGTTACGTTTGTTTGACTTTGTTTATATATATATTTGTGTGTGTGTGTGTGTGTGTGTGTGTGTGTGTTCTATTTTATAAGTTACAATATTTTTAGTGTTGTTGATATATGTTTTTCTCAATATACGTTATATTTTAATATTTATGTAATTGATCGATAATTGAATAATTTATGTTAGAGTAATTGTTTGATAGTCAAATTTTCTATACATTATTTATGAATACATACACATACTAATATAGAATAAAAATATGCATATATAAAAAGGAGCCTCGGCATGCAAGCACATATCCATACAATTGATCTCATCTTACAAAGCATTAATCAAAATTTTTTTTATCCTTCTATTTCTCCCCATACAAAAAGATAAAGCCGGATAAGTAAACTTCGAGTTTGTTTTATAATCCTCTAGGTTCAAAAGACTTGTAGTTTGATTTTTAGTCATGGAAATCACATCTTATTGAAATTTGTTATACATAATGGTTTCTTAGATGTTATTTCTAATTGGAGTTATTTTAAAATATGTAGATATCAATTTATGTTTTTCTTTCTTTTTGAATTTGTTATCGAATATTGGGAAATCGGTTGTCGACTTTGAGGTCAAAAGATAAGAAGAACCTAAATATATCTATGCTTGAACATAAGATGGAAAACTTGCTATTTGGATCAAATGTATTGTCTTCTCACTTGAACTTAATGCAGGTAATGTACCAACTATTGATTTCGGACACTCAAACTAATTTCTATATATTATCTATGATGTTATTTATTATCATCGTTAAATGAATTGAATTAAAAACATTATGCTTTTTTTTTATTTCTCATTATAATTTTGTGTTGTTTGTTCTTGAGCAGAGAGAAATTAAGTGCTTGAAGGATGAAAAAACTAAAATGAAAGAGCACATAAAAATGAATTTGCAACAAATTCATATGCAAGACAGTAAGGATTTCTTTTCTTTGTAAATATTTTGTTACATTTCCGTTGGATTCATGATTCTCTCTTTTGCTTATTTATATTTTTTTATTAATGGTAAACATATGGTAATTTGCATGTAAATAAATTATATTATAAACATTTTCTAGATAACAAGGTCTACAAACAGCGCACTTCGGAAAAACATTTTTGAATAATTGAAAATTTTGTTAGGTAATTATGCTAGATGATCATCCATTTTCTTTTATGCTTTTAAGAGTCATACTATCTAAACTAATTCGATGTTGTAAGAAAGCACATCTAAATCAAAAGGCATGTTATTAATTAAGTCTTTTATGATACAACATCTTATCAACTAAAGTATATTATATTTACAATACATTTATTTATAGGTAAAAATCACCATGTGCCCTTGTAATATCCAGTTTTGACTATTTCAATTCATCTATCTAGTTATGGTGTAAAACAAACTCTTTATTATTCAAAATTTGAACAAACCAACTTTTACCTCTAATTATGTTAATCACATGTCATCATATAAGTGATCAAATATTAGATGAAAGGGCTGATTTGTCTTACTTTTAAGTAATATAGGATATGCTTTGCACCATAACTAGATAAAAGGATTAAAATAGTCAAAACTGGATAGTACATAGATATAGAGTGATTTTCACCCATTTATTTTACATTATACAAGAGATAACATCATTCTTATGGTATTTTTGTAGGCTTGTTAATTTGTAAATTTGTCTTATTGGAATGGGAGCCTCATACTTATAGTATTATTTCTGCATGCACGTATTTAGTAAACGTTTTCTAATTGGAAAGTGGGAGAAGAAAAGGTAAGTCTAGGAATTTGAATCTTTAGGTTGTAATTTATATATAGAAAGATGGTTTCAATTTGTTGTGAAAATGATCGCATACTTTTAATTTTATCTCAATATCTAAATCTTGAAAAATAAAATTGACATATTGAGTTAAGTAGATGGAGAAAAAAATGATATTAATTCTTTATTTAATCCTTAGAAATGAATAATATTTTTTGGTTAATCTGACAGTTGTGAATGATGAAATAAGAGAAGAGATTCAGTATTTGAAAATGTTGAGGCAAGGGATACCTCATCGTGGAATTATGTTCAACTTTATGAATGGATATGTGGGACACAACATTCCTGCAATTGGTGCATCCTTGGATACAAGGCAATTTCCCCACATCTTAATGCAGAATCCATACCAACAGAAGGAAATTCAACAAATGAATTATGGAGACAAAGATTATGAATTTCAATATGAGCAAGGACAATCAAGTGAATCTCAACAGATGCAACAACCATGTCAATTGGAAGATTACTGCCAAGGACAAGACGAGGATGTGCTGCCTCAAAGCCAAGAGCCATGTATTGAGGATCCAAACATCGAGGAATCAGGAACTGATGAGCGAAGTGATAAAGATATATTTATCGATTAAATTCGCCATTATATGGAAGGAAATGAGTAATACACCCAAGATTTTGGGTGATCATTATGATCATTTCTATTATGCCTTTTATTGGGCGAGTTTATTTGTGGTTTATTTATCTGTTGCAACAAAACATGTTATGATTGGTTTGCATTTAGAACTTTGTTTTTAAAAAAATTGCTGTGTTTGGTTTACAAGTAATAAGTACCAGAATTATGTGAGTTGATAAATAGCCCTTGACTTACAATTTTTTTTTCAAAGTATTTTTAAATCTTATTTTCCAAAATGAGAAACTTTTAATCTTATTTTTTGAAAGAGTATTTTTATACTATGTAATCTCCACATGAAAAATCCATGTCATTTCCTTTAAAAAAAAATTCATGTCATTTTTTTATCATTTAAAATAACTTTAATAAGCTTAAAATAGAAATAAGTTATTTAAAAAATAATAAATTAATCAGTAAAACCTTTCTCATTTAGAATTGAACTTATAATATTTAAGGAAACATCAAGAGTAAAACCCTCACTCTTATTTAGAATTCATTAATCTCTCTCTCTCTCATTGGAATGTTGAAAAGAAGGCACTAATCTCTCTCTCTCCCTCCCTTGGTTTTTTTTTTTTTTCATCGGGAGGCATGTGGGTCTTGGCCTACACAATGAATTTTTGGTTTATTGAGAGGCTCGTAGATCTTGAACTACACAATGAGGGGTTTTTGTTCATCATGAGGCATGTAGGTCCTCCATTATTCAAAAAGCTTTTGGTTCACCCAGAGGTCGAAATGTTAGGAAGAGAGTAGAAATCTTTTTTGTTTTTTTTTTCATTAGGAGGCATGTGGATCTTAGGCTACACAATGAGTTTTTAGTTCATTGAGAGGTTCATGGATCTTAGACTCCACAATGAGAGATTTTTGTTCATCAAAAGGCATGTGGATTCTGGGCTACACAATGAGTTTTTCGTTCATCAAGAGGCCTTTGGATCTTGGACTACATAAAGAGTAGTCCTTTCTCATTACACTACATGTAATTAAAAGAACTAGAGTCTGTCTACAGTGATGAGCAGTATCCTTTGTTTTTTTTTTGCGGCTGGATTGACTAGTAGCCAAGGCCTGGACGCGCTAGGCCTTAGCTGCCCAGCCTAGCAGCCTCCCTTTTTTTTTTTTTTTAATAGACCCAAGCCTTGGTGCCCGGCATTCTTTTTTTTTTTTTCCTTCATATATATATATATATATATATATATATATATAGGGCTCATGACTAACAAATATATTTTTAGGTTATAATTGTCATTTTGAAACATTTTTTATTTTTTATTTTATTGTAGATTTGTAATAACTGATAATTTTTTGATATAATTTTATTTCTTAATAAATTTAGTTTTTTAATATATGAATTTTGGGATAAAATTTTACAATTTCAATGTTTTATTTTTTCAAAATATATTATTATAACTTATACAATAAATTATTTTTATATTTTTAAATGAGTGTTTTATTTTTTAATATATATATATATATATATATATATATATATATATATATATAGGGAGGGAGAGAGAGAGAGAAGTATATTTTAGATAGTTTGACTCAATTTTTTTTTTAATAAGTTAAAAAATTCACAAGTTTTTATATATATATATATATATATTTATTTATTTATTCAGAATTTATCAGAATCAATATTTTTGTAGTTTTTATTTTAATCTATTTACTTCAATATATTTCTATAATTTAGGTGGGTGTTTTTATATATTTATCTATTTATTCTCTATACTCTCAATATTCAATATACATATATTAAAAATTAACTATATATAAATTCAATTTATATTAATCACAAAAAATAAAACTTTCTATTGGCATTACATCATAAAAATTGCTAACTCTAAATATATAACGGTTATTTACCCGCAGCGTAGCATCGGTATCCGACTAGTAATAACTAAATAAACTAGAATCATTGAGATTCAAATCTGTTTTTATTGAAAGAAGCTATTCAGTAGACAATCACTTAAGTTATGTTTGTTTGTTTTTTTATCATGAAGAGAATAGTACTTTTGTTTATTTTTAGCTCTTGGTGTTTCCTTAAATATTATAAACTTCAAACAAACTATCTTCTTTCCATGTATTTGATCTTTTTGTTTTTTGCAAAGCTTCTTTATCTTTTATCAAAGCAAAAAACATTCTCCAAATTGCTTCATATTCTCGATTGTGCTTTGAATCAATATATTTAATACAAACAGTGTTATATATATATATATATATATATTAACTTCAAGAATTAAAAAGTTCATAATTGTATAAGTTAACTAAATCTATTATGCTCAAAGTTTAAAATAAAACTCTAATTATGGAGATATAGCAAAAAGAAATAGGGGAAAGGAAACTATTAGATTGGAATATCTTGTTGGTTGGAAAGATGGATAGATTTTTTTTTTATAGGAGGGTAATCCTAGATTTTAAAAAAAAATGTTGTATAATGGTTTAAATTAGGGTTCTTCTTATATAATTTTTTTTTTTTTTTTGCTAATTATCAAAATAAAAAATGATTAGAACGTGAAATGTCACGGATAATTGAGTTTTATGACAAAATGCGTATTAATTTAGTGAAAAAGATTAAAAGTGTCTTTTTCTTAGTAAATAAGACTTTAGAGTGTCTTATGTAGAGAAAAAAAACTCTCAACTTACATAGAATTTAAGTTGGTATTTATTGTCTCACCATATATATGGTTTTAGATTATTTGCTACTGAGTAATAAGATTAAGATGGTGTAAATTTATCGCACTTTTTGCTTCATGCGACAGGTAAGTAAAGTTAATAATTATCATATATTCTGATTGGTTGCATGAATATCATTTTTTTTTCTTTTCCTATCAATGTTAATCATTCAATTGTATTTGTAAACCTTTAAGTAAATTTTAATAAAGCAAAAAAGAAACAATTAGTTTTTATTTATTAAATAGTCTCAATTTGAAATATGATGAAAACATAATTACTTGTAGCCTCATACAAGTAGCTCCTGTTGCGAAGAAAAATTTTACTATGAAAATTTTTATACCATCACGAAGCAAAATTTCTAAAGATTATAACATCTTAAATTTAGTTTAGAAGTGAACATTTTCAGTTCCATAACAATTCAAAACAATTGTATTGTATACGAAAACCTTTAATTTTACTATGAAATTATATTTGTTCGTCTCGTGAAACAAATTTATCTTTTTATCACTTTGTTACAGATATATTCCAAGTATGTTAGATAATTAAGTTATTAGTAGGTTCGAGTTTACAAAGTTTTTTTCTCTGTTTACTTTTAGCCTATATGTAAAAAATGGGGCTCATAATATAAAATTCAAGCTATCTTCTTTAAAAATACCACTAAAAAGTAATTTTTTTTTCACTTGAGAAAAAAATGTTCACTTAATTTTGTTGATCAGCTTTTCGTTTTTGCAGAAAGGAATAAGTACCTTCAAGAAGCTCTCTACAGGTTAAGCCCGCCTCGAGTTAGTAAATTTTAACCTTTTTTACAATTAATTTTCGTAGTTAGTACTTGAGCTTTATGACATGGACTTAATCTTTTCCAAGCTGAACGTGTGGTGTTTGACTTACTTTTGACTTACATCAAACTAAGTTAATATTTTTTCTATACTAAGTTACGAAGTAAGGAAGTCACACAAGATATATATTATGAAAATTATTTGTACTACTCTCAATGTTATCACCTAATTTTTTACCTATTTTGTTTTACGCATTTTTCTTTTAAAAAATAAAAATATGAAAATTTAATGTGCTTTGCTTGATTGTGCAATTTTTATCCTACGGTTAGAATTTTTAGGGATCCCATGATTTTTGAAAGTTTAGAAAAATTAATTAAAAAAAAAAGAAGAAAAAGAAAAGAAGACAAAAAAAGAGAGAAAATAAACAAAAGATGAAAAAGAGAAAAGAAATAAATGAGGGAAGACAAAGGGAGAAGAAAATAAGTTAGAAATTAGGAATTTTGAGCCAAATTAATTAAACGTGGGAAATTGGTCCCAAAAATAAATGAATCGAGGATTCAACTTAAAAAATAGTCTAATTGAAAATGCGATTTGAAAAGAAAATAAAAGGATGAGATGAGAAATTGAAAGAAAAACAAAACAAGAAGAAAAAAAGGGTAAGTTAGGGTTTTCCTTAAAAATCGTAGCAATCCATACTATATGAGCATCACTTTCTCCCTCGTACAAAGGGGGATGCCATATTTATTTTTTCTTTGAGAGAAAGAAACCTAGAGAGAAGAAAAACTCTCTCCATTCATCTCTCCGACAACCAACCACCATCAACCACCAAACCAAACCTCCAACCCATTATCCATTGATACACAACCTAAGCCATGAAAAACCTCCAAAAAAAAAAACCGCTTTAAGTCGTCGGTTAAGAACCAAGAAAAACCCCCAAAAAACCATTGGCCAAGCTCTCTTCCATTCGATCATCATTGTTACAACTACTAATAATGCTTAAAATACATGTGTTTAAATTGCTAAATTCCCTACATTTTACTATTTTTAGATGTCCAAATGATAAACCTTAACTCGTTTTTGTATTCTATGTGCTAGGATGTGGAGCCGATTGAAAAATATCGTTAAAAGAATCATATAAAGAGAATTTATGATCGAACCAATTCAGCCACTGGAAAGCACAAGAAGCATGGGCATATAAGCACAGAAGCGTGGGCACGTAAGAATAATAGCGTGGGCACACGGATGCAGCAGACATAGACGCACAAAGACATGAAGGCGTGGGCACGTTGCAACTTGACGCGGGCACGCTGAAATCCACGAAACGGACAACAGACTTTAACTAGGAAACAAAATTTGTTACGATTTGCCGGAAAAAGACGCTAGCCTACCAAAAGAAAATAGAATATTGTATACCCTTTTTAGGAAATAGACAACCTGTATAAATAGAAACCTAACGAGACTAGGGCGAGAGGACTTTTGATATTATTATTCATAGTATAGGCGTATCTCTCTCTCTATC